TAACAAGCTGTGGTATATGTGTACCATGGAATACTATTCAGTCATTAAAAAAGATAAGAGACTTTACATCTTTTGTAATAACCTGGATGGAACTGAAACACATTCTTCTTAGTAAAGCATCAGAAGAATGGAGAAGCAAGAATCCAATGTACTCAATTCTAATATGAAGGAAGTAGATGAGCTACATGGGGTGGGGTAGGGGAATGAGATATCAGGGAAAAGAGAGGAGAGAAGGGGATGGGGGTCACGGTGTTTGACATACCTCTTGGGGGTGAGATATAAGTATAACAGGGACTTTATCGGGGCCAGGTTCAGTGGCTCATGCCTGTAATGCCACTGTGCCTGGCCCCGATAAAGTCTGCCTGAGCTCATAGGTTTGAGACCAGCCTGAGCCAAAGCAAGACCCCATCTCTAAAAATACCCAGGTGTTGTGGCAGGTGCCTATAGTCCCAACTAATGGGGACACTGAGGCAAGAGAATCACTTAAGCCCAGGAGTTAGAGGTTGCTCTGAGCTATGACGTGACAGCACTCTATTGAAAGTGACAAAATGAGACTCTGTTTCAAAATTTTAAAAAAAGGGACTTTATCTAACAAATGCTATCAGTATAACCTAATTCTTTATATCCTCAGTGAATTCCAAACAATAAAAAAAAAATCAAGAGACCAAATTAACATCATTTTATAATCAATAAAGCACTTTATTTTTATTAGTTTTTAGTGCTAAATCACCAGACAATTATACCTTCTTTCTAAAGTACAATTGTTCTACATATTAATTTCAGGCCTTTTGACAACCACTGGGAGGTCCATTTGGCAGTGTAAGTCCACTGAGGCTAGTGGTCTATCCTCTGTCTCTATATGTAGCATTTAGCTTTAATGTACAGAGTGGTAGCTTTTTCCAACCATCAGCATAAAGGTTAAGGGTGTGGGCTGTGGAATCAGACAGATTTGGGTTCAAATCACTGCTCTGTCATTTATTAGCTGTGACTTTGGACAAGTTATTTAAATTCTCTGTTTCTCAGTTTCCTCACTATAAAATGGGGACAATAATGGTACCTACTCCATATGAGTGTGAGGATTAAACAAGAAAATATATGTAAAGTAGTTATTATTAAGTTAAAATGCTAATTAAGCTTTGAGTTTCAACTTTTAACTGAAATCAGGTACAAATATTACTAACCTTTAAACTGTACAATTTCTCCATTCTGAGTTTTTGGCAATCCCTTTAGACAAACTTCACTGGTAAGAGCTAAGGCAATACCACAGCTTCCTAGCAAGAAGCCAATCTGCTGACCTCCAGCATCCTGTGGAGAAAAGATAATGAACACAGTAAGGGAGAGAATACGAGCAGACCCATACCCCAAACCTCACACTTCCTAATGAGCTGGTACTTGTGAGATAACATTCATGGAGCCTCACCAAGATCTGGCAATTGTCAAATCCAACAACAATATGTTCTTCCAAATAATTTCTATAATACAGTGACTTCTTGAGTACAAAGCAAACATTTTATTAACCTGACATTGCTAATGAATTCTACCAGCCAAATTCAACCACTTCATTTAGGGTCAGCAACGAGCCTCCTTTAGATTAGTTTAGGCAAATGACATAAATGCTAATATGGTAAGTAGCCTTTCTCTTCTCCCATCCCCAAATGTAAGGGCAAAGCACTTCAGATTGTAATAGAAAAAATAATGTAAATGGATACCAAATGTCCAGATTTATAATCAAAGTCAATGGATGGTCATACCAAATCCATATATGCTTTTTATTATTCTATTTTAAAGAAGGTAGATTTATGCTTTGTAACAGCAGCAAAAACAAGAGCCAAAAAACCAGAAGACACAGTCTAAAGTATTTCTATTAAAATATCATCTTAAAAGTATCAATAAAAACCCACAAATACTGTCAACTTAACAATTTATGAACAACCCAACAATTTCCTGACCAACTGAAGGTCACTAATTTGTTTTCTATTCCTTTCAAAAAAGAATCTTCTGTTTTTTTCTTTTTTGAGACAGAGCCTCAAGCTGTCCCCCTGGGTAGAATGCTATGGCATCACAGCTCACAACAACCTCCAATTCCCAGGCTCAAGTGAGTCTCCTGCCTCTGCCTCCCAAGTAGCTGGGACCACAGACGCCTGCCACAACGCCTGGCTATTTTTTGGTTGCAGTCATCATTGTTGTTTGGTGCGCCGAGGCTGGATTCGAACCCGCCAGCTTAGGTGTATGTGGCTGGCGCCTTAGCCACTTGAGCCACAGGTGCCGAGCCACAATCTTCTTATAAATCCAAATTTTCCACCATGTTCATCTTTGACATCAATTCTTAGTAATAAACTACATGAGAAAAATAGCATCAAGCAGCTTGTGGAGAAATCATTTAGTCACACACGGAAATCTGTTACATATCTCCATTTTATTACAGTAAAGCTGATGTGTTGCCAAAGTAGCATCCTACAATCAGAGAACAGCATGTGATCACTGCTTCAGCCTTCCACTTAATGGAAATCCTAGGTCATATGATACAGTTAAAGGAAACTGCTTTACAGAAAGGTTACAGTTGCTATAAATGGATTATCTACAGTCTCTGAAGAATGGTACTCTTTATAAATGGTAATTATTCAAAGTCAAGTATACCCCCATGCTACTGTAAATGATATACAATACTATAAAAATCCTATCTTAGTTGAAAACATGTTATCTGCATGACACTTGTAAATACTAATAATTTTTCTACTATTTTCATGTTTCGAGGAAGTGGGGCTAAGTACTTCATAAAATGGTCAGACTGTTTCTAATATCATGACTGAGTCAATCATTCCTCTTAAATTCAGCAGTGTTACCTTTCTGGTAAGAGGTACCTCTATAGGCACTGGAATCACTTCTGCCAAGAGACATCCATAAAAAGCCACCATAAACATGACTGGATCATTGTTGGGGTAAACCAGCGCCACCTAAAATTCATAACAACATTCAGTAACAGAGGAATAAAAATGTGCCAATGCTTTCAATGTCACTCTAATATACACATTTTAAGAAAGGAAAAAAAGTGTACATTTAACATGAACATGGAAACCAAACTATTAAACTATTTAATAGCCATCGGCTCTACAGGCAATTGAGTTACTGAGATGTCCACACAAATCTAAAAAGAAAAGCTCTCTATCATGCCCATGATTATACGCATTCTGGGAACTATAATGCAATTCACCAACACTGGAAGAATTTTTCACTTAATTCTATTGGTGATTGAGCAGTAACAAATTCACCTTAAGTGTTTAAGTCAATTACTTAGGAAACCTAAGGCAATTTACTTTAGTGCAGGGCTAAAGCAATAAAATAAATGTAATAGACTTCTCTAGCTAGAGCAGGGTATTAAAGAATAAGCCTCACATCTCTGAGAGCCTATAAATGCTGACTGACTTGATCATCACTTCAGGGCTAACATCAGGTTTCACTGCATTAATCCTTATTCACTTGCCCAACAATGCGGGTATTATAACAGGAAGGCATTTGGTAATAGGGGTAAGTAATATTGGCAGAACCATTATGGATATAAAGTTAACTCAATAACAAAAGATAAACAGTGAAATCTATATATTCAAACCCGTGACCGCACCTATAATGTACCACAAAGATAAATGACTTTCCCTAATTAACTCAAAGAATGCAAAAACACAGAAGGCATCACTGTGGAGTTTGTTGCTTGGCTTTAGATATTTGCAGATTAACATGTGAAACTTAATTACATCACAAAACTCTTGTTTCTTCTTTGGCTTTCAAATTCTCTTAACTCACTCCCAAGAAAAGTTCAATTCTGAACAAATATTCCTAAAATTCTAAAAAATATTATTAATTCTGTGAGACATTTAAACAACCCATTTCCTTCCTGCCCAGAGTCCATGTTGCTAGGCAGTCACAAAATTACCTTCTAAAGGGTCAGAGAGGACTAGCAAGTACTCACCAATCCCATTAATAAGTAAAAGACATCCTTATATACCCTTTGCCACAATGCAAAAATATTTTTTAAAAGTCTTATTTTAGGCAGCGCCTGTAGCTCAGTGGGTAGGGGGGCGGCCACATACACCGAGGCTGGGGGGTTCAAATCCAGCCCAGGCCAGCTAAAACAATGACAACTGCAACAACAAAAAAAAAATAGCTGGGCATTGTGGCGAGTGCCTGCAGTCCCAGCTACTTGGGGAGGCTGAGGCTAGAAATGCTTAAGCCCAAGAGTTTGAGGTTGCTGTTAGCTGTGACGCCATGGCACTCTATGGAGGGTGACATAGTGAGACTCTGTTTCAAAAAAAAGTCTTATTTTAGGAGATTCTATAATCATGAGCATACTAAAAAGAAGTCTGTTGTGTAGTTGGTTTCTAGAAATTCTGAATGAAAAGTAGTGTGCAATGGTAAGAAGTAATCCTATTTAGAAAGTCATTAATAGGAAAAAAAAATCTCCAAAAATTAAAAATTTATTTTTAATATCAATTCTAATTAAAGAAGAAGAAAAATATCAATTTGTTTTTTTCTTAAAAGTAACATCAATCTCTCCTTTTTTCATTTCTTTCCTTTAGAGATAGAGTCTTGCTCTGTTATCCAGGCCAGAGGTCCTTGATGTCATCATAGGTCACTGAAGCCTTGAACTTCTGGACTCAAATGAGTTTCCTGTCTCAGCTGCCCAAGTAAATAGCTGGGACTAAAGGCAAGTACTACCAGATCCAACTAATTTTTCTATTTTTTCTTTTTTGCAGTTTTTGGCCAGGGCCAGGTTTGAACCTGCCACCTCTGGTATATGGGGCCAGCATCCTACTCCTTTGAGCCACAGGTGCAGCCTTTGTTTTTTTTGTTTTGTTTTGTTTTGTTTTAGAAACAGAGTTTTACTTTGTCACCCTTGGTAGAGTGCCATGGCATCACAGCAACCTCTAGATCTTGGGTTTAGGTAATTCTCTTGCCTCAGCCTCCTGAGTAGCTGGGACTACAGGCACCCGCCAGAATGCCTGGCTATTTTTTTGTTGCAGTTTGACTGGAATTGGATTCAAACCCACCACCCTCGGTATATGGGGCCAGAGCCCTACTCACTGAGCCACAGGAGCCACCCATAATTTTTCTATTTTTGTAGAGACAGGGTTGTACTATGTTGCTCAGGAAGGTCTCCAATTCCTGGCCTTAAATGATCTTCCCACCTCCGCCTCCTAAAGTGCTGGGATTACAGGTGTGAGCCACCATGTCAAGTTTTTTCCTCCCTTTGTACATAAAACCACAGAAAATTGTTTTTAAAAACACCATTTAAAAAATAAAAGGTGTATAAGGCATTTTGTAATGAAAAAAAGTAGAGTAAGTTGTTTAAATATTGAAATACTTACTTCTAGAAAGGCTGACATTTCTCTTTATTAGCACCTCAAAAGTTTACTGATTGTAAGGTATATAAGAGGACATGTGAATTTCTTTCAATCTATGAATACAAGTGTTGTCACCCACTGTCGGGCTAACCTGGACTGGATTCAAACCACTTTTATTTTTCAAAAATAAAGTTTATACAAATTTTCCTATCATATATTAAAAATATGGAATATACATAATAGAAAATAATAAGCTCCAACTCTTAAAACCAAAATGCCAATTACCCTGTCTCCAGGTTTTAACACAGGTTCGTTTTTGGTCCCCAGTTTATTAAGCAGTGTGTAGGCCAACTTTAAACTTCTGCTCCACAACTTTCCTGGAAAAAATAAAATAAAAAGTCTTACAGAAAAATGCAGGCCTACCTCAGTAAGAGAACATTTTATTCATCAGCACATTTACTAAGACAATAGCCACTTCCTAATGATGCATTAGATGAGTCTTGCCCCTTAACACACAAAAAGGACCCCTCCCAAAAGCTTTATATTCATTCCGGTTTACAAAAGCCAGTCTGGTCTTCAACATCACCAGAGGCTTATCCTTGTTTATATAGTATTTTAGAATTCTTTTCTGGGCTCAGTCCCCATAGTACAGTGGTTACAGTGCCAGCCACATATGCGAGGCAGCTGGCGGGTTCAAACCCAGCCCTGGCCAGCTAAAACAACAATGACACTGCAACAAAAAATAGCCGGGCATTGTGGTCCCAGCTACTTGGGAGGCTGAGGCAAGAGAATTGCTTATGGCCAGGAGTTGGAGGTTGCTATGAGCTGTGACACTATAGCACTCTACAGAGGGTGACATAATGAAACTGCCTATAACATAACATAACATAACACAACACGAAATTCTTTTCTGGAGTAATTCAAACAGCCTTAGAAATAACTGGATATGAAGTGATCACATTTGGGAGAAAGGGGTAAGCTTTTTTAATCACAGGACTAAAAATCAGATGGCTACTTCAGTCCTAAGCTTGTTCTGAAGAACCACTCACACAGGTGGTCATTAGATACGTGAGGTAACTGCAAGGCCAATGGTACGACTGAGAGGATTAAACATTCCACACCACGGTAAATTCAATGAAAACAGACAATAACGTAGAAATTATATGAAACATGTGAATATATTTACAAATATTAAATAAATATGCAAAGATTTGACCAGCTGAATGCTTTCTTTAAGGATTATACGAATGAAATTAATACATAGTTTCAGAGGTGAATGTTACAACTATTTTGGCAAAAACAAAAAATCTGTTTCTTTGCCTTCTTCTACTCTGTCTTCTCAACAACTCTTAACAATTCTCATGTTAGTTATAAGAAAAGTGAAAGAAATCATGTTATTTGAACTTTTTTGTTTTGAGACAGGAGCCTCAAACTGTCCCCCTGGGTAAAGTGCTATAGCATCACAGCTCACAGCAACCTCCAACTCCTGGGCTTAGGCAATTCTCTTGCCTCAGCCTCCCGAGTAGCTGGGACCACAGGTGCCCGCCACAATGCCCAGCTATTTTTTGGTTGCAGCCATCATTGTTTGGCAGGTCCTGGCTTGATTCGAACCCGCCAACTTGGGTATACGTGGCAGGTGCCTTAGCCACTTGAGCCACAGGCGCTGAGCCAAGTTTTTTTTTTGTTTGTTTTGTTTTGATAGAATCTTGCGCTGTCACCCAGGATACAGTGCAGTGGTGCAATCACAGCTCACTATGACACTTGGGTTCAAGTGATCCTCTCACTTCAGCCTCCCAAAGCACTGGGATTACAGATGTGAACCACTGTGCCTGGCCCATGTTATATTAAATGGCTTTGTTAGTTGTATACACAGTTTATTAAACTATTTCAACCTGCATGATTCTTTAAATAATAACTTACTTTTACCAAAAGATTATTTCATTATCTAGTTCTATGGACATTATGCTCCACTTATGAAGGTAAAAAGGAATCTTAATAAATTACTACCAATCTGGCTCGGCACCTGTAGCTCAAGTGGCTAAGGTGCCAGCCACATATACCCAAGATGTCGGGTTCCAATCCAGCCCGGGCCCGCCAAACAACAATGATGGCTGCAACCAAAAAAAATAGCCGGGCACTGTGGTGGGCGCCTGTGGTCCTAGCTACTGGGGAGGCTGAGGCAGGAGACTCACTTGAGCCCAGGCGTTGGAGGTTGCTGTGAGCTGTGATGCCACAGCACTCTACTCAGGGGGACAGCTTGAGGCTCTGCCTCAAAATAATTAAATAAATAAATAAATAAATTACTACAAATCTCATAGCTGAGAGTTGATGCCATTTTCCTTGAAGTTATTTTAAAAAGAAAAATAAAAACTTTAGCAGAGATGCAAAATTAAATGAAAAAATACTGATTCTTTGTTCATTACAGAATTTTGTGCCTATTGGAAGCAAGAAGCAGGACGGAGTAAAGATCTAAAAAGTAACCAGTTTCAATTTTTGGAAAAAACCAGCTGACTTCCACCATACATTATTAACACTGACCAAATGATTTCCTAAGAGCCTCTTCTGCTATTAAAACTTCAGTAGATTTAAGAAGTCTCTTTCTTCTTTTTTCTGCCTTTTAAGTATTAGCTGGCATGCAAATACCACTTTAATAAATGAAAACATTTGGCAATAATTTACTCAGAACTTAAGAGTCTATTAAATAATTGAAAAGATCTGCTGAACCATAATGACCAGCATCTGCTAAATATCAAGTTAAAAACACCACCCATGGTATTCTGAAGAACTTAGGAGAAAAGGAAGATCTGGAACTCACCATATGTAAGAGTGTAAACTGGCTTCCCTGTCACGTCCAGCGCAGTCAGGCAAGAGCACTTTGCTTGAGTGGTGCCCCACCGCTGTAGGGCAGATTCAAGAGCAGGCGGCCAGTTACAGATGACTCCCAAAGGCTCTCCCTTCACAGGGGTCATCTGCCGTCCCTCAGGCTTGGGCTGGTTGGGGTCTGGCTGAGGTACTGCGCAAAAACACACCAATGGATGGAGTAAGTACAAATACCGAATAATACAACTGGGCTTTATACATTTAATATGGTTTTTAATTTTTTTTTTTTTTTGAGACAAGGTTTTGCTGTCACTCAGGTTGGAGTTTAGTGGTACAGTCATAGCTCACTGCAACCTTGAACTCCTGGACTCAAGAAATCCTCCCATCTCAGCCTCCCAAAACACTGAGATTACAGGTATTTAATATGTTTTCTGCAACAAATCCTGACCCTAACAAAGCAAATTGCTACCTATACAGAAGAGAACAAAGTGTTAAATTACTTTTTTTTTCTTTTTTTAGAGATAGTCTCATTCTTATCGCCCTTGGTAGAGTGCCATGGCATCACAGCTCATAGCAACCTCTAACTCCTGGACTTAGGCAATTCTCTTGCCTCAGCCTCCTGAGTAGCTGGGATTATAGGTGCCCGCCACAATGCCCGGCCATTTTTTGTTGCAGTTTGGCTGGGCTGGGTTTGAACCTGCCACCCTTGGCATGTGGGGCCGGCGCCTCACCCACAGAGCCACAGGCGCCACCCTGTAAATTACTTTTACATGTGCCGGGTTCGAACCCACCAGCCCCAGAGCATGTGTCCAACGCCCTAACCACTGAGTTACGGGCACCCCCAAGTTCATAATTTTTAGTAAATTTGTTTATAATCTTTTATAGTTTGTGTAATGCAATTTCACATGTATGACACAGAAATGTCATTAGGTTACCTTTAATGAAAATGCATTACACAGTGAGTCAGAAAACTCAAATTCACATTCACTTTTTACTAGTAATATGTTAGGAAAATTGATTTACCTAAGTCTTGCTTTCCTCATCTATAAAATGGGGATAGTGACAGTTATACCTCTGGATCATTATTAGACTCAAACTGATCATGGGTATAAATCACAATGTTCCATGTCTGTCTACTTCTGCACCCATCTCATACAGCCAATCCCTTTGCCTCTTGGTGAAGTCTTACTCATCCTTTTCAGGGCTCAGCTCAAATAGCAATCTCTGGGAACCAACCCCAGCTATTCCATGACGAGACTATATCTGCCTTAGCATTCCCACATTATGTGGGAGTCTCCCCTTATTGAAGTACTGAGGGGCTTGGCACCTGTAGCTTGGCAGCTAGAGTGCCAGGCACAAACACCGGAGCTGGCAGATTCGAATCCAGCCAGGGCCTGCCTAACAACGACAACTAAAGCACTGAAGATCCTCAACAACCTCTTTTTTTTTTTTTTTCTCAACAACTTCTTAACTGTACTACTGTTCCCCACAAGACTGATGGCTTCCTGCAGGAAGGGAAGGTTGGTTTTTTTTTTTTTTAAGACAGAGCCTCAAGCTATCCCCCTGGGTAGAGTGCCGTGGCATCACAACTCACAGCAACCTCCAACTCCTGGGCTCAAGCGAGTCTCTTGCCTCAGTCTCCTAAGTAGCTGGGACCACAGGCGCCCGCCACAACGTCCGGCTATTTTTTGGTTGCAGCCATCATTGTTGTTTGGCGGCCCGGGCTGGATTCGAACCCGCCACCTAGGTGTATGTGGCTAGCGCCTTAGCCACTTGAGCCACAGGCGCGGAGCCGAAGGGAGGGTTCTTATTCCCTATAGTGCACCCAATAAACAAAGGCTACTCAATAATATTATTAGTTGAACTGAATTTAGAAAATGTTTTAAAAAGCTGTATTATTAACATGGTCATTCCAGGAATCAGAAGTGAATAATATTTCGTAGTCTTCCATACATATAAAACTAGAGTCTTGCATTATTCAGATAACAAAGAACAAAACAAAAACCCTACATTATGGGTTTTTGAAAAAAATAGAAAAGGTAATTTACATACAGAACAAAAAGTCAAGGAAAGTATTTACTGAGCACCATTATGTGCACAAGATGTAATAAACACCAAGAAAAAAAAATGCTGCACATGTCATTTTTTGAACAAACGTTTATGGTGCCTACTAAGTGCTGTATACCAAGTTCAAGGCCTCAAGGAGCATCCTCAATGCACTGGAGGACACACACGTGTACATGTGCAGAGCTTCAGGTACGTGCAGGAAGGGCAAGTCATCCACGTGGAGGGAATGGCTGAGCTGAGTCTTAGAGGATGAGTAGGAGTCAGCCAGGTGAATGAGAAAAGAGGCATAGAAAGAAGGGACAGAATGACCACTAAATAGCTAATGGGCAAAGAAAATATGAAATAAATTATATTTATAGCTCAATACAATGACAGATTGGGGGCTTGGCACCTGTGGCTCAAGCGGCTAAGGCGCCAGCCACATATACCTAAGGTGATGGGCTCGAATTCAGCCCCAGCCTGGCAAACAACATTGATGGCTGCAACGAAAAAAAAAAAAAAATAGCCGGGCATTGTGGTGGGCGCCTGTGGTCCCAGCTACTTGAGAGGCTGAGGCAGGAGACTCGCTTGAGCCCAGGAGTTGGAGGTTGCTGTGAGCTGCGATGCCACAGCACTCTACCCAGGGGGACAGCTTGAGGCTCTGTCTCAAAATAATAAAATAAAAAATAAAAATGAACCACACACTGGTTTGATGCCTGTAGCTCCGGGGCTGGGTTTTTCAATTTTTTTTTATGAGTCGGGGGTCTCATTCTCGTTCAGACAAGCCTCCAACTCCTGAGCTCAAGCAATCCTCCCGCCTCAGCCTCCCACAGTGCTGGGATTACAGGCGTGAGCTACTGTACCTGGCTCTCTTTGCCTTTCTGCCCTCACCCTCCCTCCTTAGCTTTCACCTAAGGTCTAAAATATAAAGATTCTTAGAGAAAAAAGGAGAACTATGAACTCTTTGAACCCAAAACTGTCTTGTTTGTCCTTTAACCCTATAGTACCTGACATGTAGTAACTGGTTAAGAAATATTTGTTTAGGGTAGCTGTGACTCAGCAAGTAGGACACCGGCACCATATACCAAGAGTGGCGGGTTCAAACCCAGCCCCAGACAAACTGCAACAAAAAATAGCCAAGGCGTTGTGGTAGGTGCCTGTGGTCCCAGCTACTTGGGAGGCTGAGGCAAGAGAATCACCTAAGCCCAAGAGCTGGAGGTTGCTGTGAGCTGAACGCCATGGAACTCTACCGAGGGCAACAAAGTGTGACTCTGTCTCTAAAAAAGAAAAAAAATTATTTTTTAATAAATATATGGTTTTGGCATTTTCACAACTACCTTCCACAATTTCTTCAGCGTCATCCACAAAAAATTCCTTTAAGGGAGGCCTTTTGGGTCGTTTTAGAGTGTTGAGAAGCTGCTGGATTTTTGTAGATACTCGGCTGTTGACAGGAACACCTATAACGAAAAAAATGGTTAAGATACAATTCACAGATTATGGGGACACTTCAGTTCCTCCAGTTCCTCAGGAGCTTTTATTTCTAATTATGTTTGGCCTTTACCCAGTCTAATTCTATTGACCAAATAGGTACAAATACATACATGAGAAGTTTTATAATCACAGAGACAAAAATGGTGCTATTATTAATATATTACCTAAAGATTTTACTAATCTCCCTTTTCTTTTGTAAAAGTCTTTCCTTTTTAGCTACCAAAAAGAAATCCTTACCATCAGCTGTATCCATGAGGCTGGACCTGTTGGACCCTTTATGCATGCCTTTAACTATCCCCGAGGGGGGCAGGTCAATATTGGCTGGGCGTATTGAGGAAGATGAGGAGGAGGAAGAGGTAGTTGTAGTGACATCAGGGGGAGCAGAGAAATTCTCTAAGGGGGAGAAAACAAAGTTTAAAATTATATTAAATTAGCAGTGAAAATAAGCACCTTCAAATCTTTGTTTTTTAACAAGTAAGAAAACTACATAAATAGGGCATTAAATCTTATTAACCCTTTAAATCAAATTCTACTAGCAAAACATAACGGGAGAAGGTAAGCCAGGGTATATCAGCTTTTCAAACATATTTTCAAGGCTTAGGTATCCTCAGAAGATCAGAAATATATCCAATGTTATTCTAGTTTCTTAAACATTGATTCATGATTCCACAGCTTATCTAGAATATATCCCTTTTCACTGAAAACCAAAATAATGTCTTGGAAGTGGGTCAAATCGCTCATTTCCAGATTAAAAAAAAAAATTAAAGCCTACTTCCAATTTGGATAAAATAACACATAGGTAATTTGGATCTCCTTGACAGAGAAGTTTCTTTCCCTGCTCTAAGCAAAAATTAGTAGACCATTATTCTACTCTATTTCACATGGGATTCTTCACATAGAGAAACTGAATAGAGTAAATTGGAAGAGATCCACTTAACAGGGATGTGTTACAAAAAACTAAGAAGAAAACATCTAGAGAAGCAAAAAGAAAATTAGAGGGAGGAAAAATGTGATTTATAAGATTAATGAAAAGCTACTAAAAATATGAAAAAGGAAAAAGTATAACATAAACAATTTCTGAAATCAATTTGTGGGTAAGGTCTCCATGCTCCCAAAGTCTATAATTAACTCGTTTCATATTTTAAATTTTAAATATGCTAGCACAAGCATATTGCAATAAACCTTTATATAGTATAATGTGGTAATAAAAATATTAAAATGGACATTTTTGAACCCAGCAATTCAACTTACAGGAATACATCCTCAGGAAATAATCAGACAAAGGCACACGGTTGTATGTTTAAGCATGTTCATTCAGCACTTTTTATAATACAAAAAAGTGGATAGTATTTAGAAGTCCAAAATAGGGGAATGGTTAAATTAACCAAGGCAAATAGTCAGACAACGGTATGCCTTGAAACCATAAAAATAGCATAATTACAATAATATAAAAGATGTTCATTATAAACTGCTAAGAAAAGCATGTTATAAACATTATGTTTAGCACAATTTCATTTTTGTAAAATAAAACCCAAAACCCTATGGATTTATATGCAAATAAACTCTAGAAGAATATATACTGAAGTGTTATGGATGGAAGATAGGATCCTAGGTTATTTTTCTTTCACCCTCAGTTTTGAATTTTTCTATTAGGAATATGAATTACTTCTGTTAGAACAAACATCCCCAAAGCAATAATGATGGATAAAATGATTTCTGTGAGTAACTGAACCAGTAACTTTTCACAGAATAGCAGAATTAATTAAAACTATGATGCCAGGTGACATCATCTTGTTAATGAAAGTCCAGATAAAGTTAATTGCACATTAGGATGTATTTTTAACAAGGGAAATTGCTCTTTTCAACAAACATGGAAATCAAACCTCACCAACTGCAGCTCTGTTGCTCACCCTCTGCAACAGAAGAGGTGGTGAATATGCACATCTGTCTACAGCTGCTCTGGGAGGCTCTGTGAATTACAGGGCAGAGCTAAGTGGGCAGAACAAGTTACCAGCTGCTGGGACTTCGCTACTTAACAAGGGCAATGAGACCTTCCTGGTAGTTACTAAAATTTTTCCAAGTTTTCATTTTTCAGAAAGCAATTAATAGAATGAAGATAGATACATATCAGGTGATAAAGAATGGTTACTGAGATGAAAACTAAGACACAAAAATGCATCAACTGTCGAGAGAAAGGGGAAAAACATCACAGACAAGTAATGTTAATACATATAAGTGTAATTTGTACCAACCAATTTAGCCAAAAGTAGAGAGCTTAGCTGTATCTTTATTTGTAGGTGTTACAAGTCACACACACACACACACATACATACAAACATAAAGCAGAGCCAGGCAAAAGCTACACTCCACATAGCACACAGGCAGCCGCAGCAGCTCACAGAGCACCAACAGCTTCCACTTGCACACTCCAGTTGTAGCAATATCATAGCAGCAAGGACAATAAATCCAGTCTTCATGCTAAAGACAAAAGGCCTTACTGATCCTGGTAGTGCAGATTTTCCTCAGATTTAATTTTTTTTCCTGTTTGACAGAATATAGACAATGATCTGGGAAAATCTAAGATGTTACGAATTTTGACATTTTTTAATATGTGAAATATTCTTCAACTGGGATAAATCCACACTAAGACTGGTGTTATATCTTGCAGCTTGAATATTGCTCATGGAAATAGCTATGGCTTCAGGTGGGCAGTACTGTGCACTAAAAATGCAGGTGATACCTATCATTCCTGCAACAAATGTATTGCTGGTGTTTCCTTCTTTGCCTCATTAACTTTCTTGTTCTCCATGATTATTTTTTAGATCACACTGCAAACCTCATACAAATTATACACTATTTCCTGGATACTGAGAGCCAAATGGAACATAATTTGGGCTTTCTGGGTAGATCCAGCGCCTACCTATTCGAGTATTGGCAAATACATCAGCTAGAGACCCACTGGTTCCTTTGACCTCTCCATGGGACAGCGTAGATGATGCAGATGAAGAAGTGGACGATCCCTGAATTGAACGGTTGATCCAGGACTCAGCATTCTGTAAACTCTGTTGCAAGGCAGCAGAGAGCGCAGCTTGGCGTCTCAGAGAGCCCTCATCCTCAGAGGCCGAAGATGTGTCTGTGTGGAATTAAAAAAAAGAAGTTCTCGATCCTGCCTAGAACAGAGACTTTTCACATCTTACTCGTTGATCACACATTCGATTTTGACACCAGCAAAACATTCGTATTCCTATGGTAGATTACTATGTACAAGGTTTTTCAAGAATCTCAAGGAAGGGTTTGTGGACCAAAGCCGACAAAAATAAAATAGCCTAACTCCATACGTAATTTTAAGGATTTTTTTTTTTTTACCTTTAACATTTAAACTTCATTCACTATTTTCCTACTCTGAGCTTACTTACTATCTAAATTCTTCTAGTTTATTTATGTTCAAATAATATTGATGTAGGTTGGGTGTGGTGGCTCACGCCTATAACCCTAGCACTCTGAGAGGCTAATGTAGGAGGGTCACTGGAGCTCAGGAGTTAGAGATCAACCTGAGCAAGAACAAGACCCCATCTCTACTAAAAATAGAAAAAATTAGGCCAGTGTGGTGGTGGCAACCTGTAGCCCCAGCTACTCTGGAGCCTGAGGCTGGAAAATAGTTTGAGAGCATGAATTTGAGTCTGCAGGAAGCAATAATGAGGACGCTGCACTGTAGCCTGGGAAAAGACCAAGACCCTGTCTCAAAAAATAATAATACTGACATGTTTATAGATCTTCCTCAACCTCTTTATAAGAGACCTTATAATAGGTTGTTACACTTATTTTGATGAGTATTTATTAGCCTCTACTTAAAAGGAAGTGATCTTGGTAGGGAGATATAAAAACTTATTCTCTCGCTTTGTCACCCTTGGTAGAGTGCTGTGGCACAGCTCACAGCAACCTCAAACTCTTGGGCTCAAGCGATTCTTTTGCCTCAGCCTCCAAAGTAGCTGGGACTACAGGCACCTGCCACAATGCCCGGCTATTTTTTACAGACAGGGTTGGTCTTGCTCAGGCTGGTCTCAAACTCCTGAGCTCAGGCAATCCACCTCCTCTCAGTGTTAGGATTATAGGAGTGAGCCACCACACCTGGCCCATAAAAACTTACTCTTGTTAAAAATTTATGTGCCAATGAGTGAGCTAGGTACCAGGGAACTGAAGTAGGATAAGGAACAGTCCTTAGCCTGGAGGCATTCGTGGTCAGTTGGTCAGGGGGCACAGGTTAGCTTTCTAAACATGATAGGAGAGGGGGCTCAGTACCAGGATTTCTTTCCTGATTCTCAGTCACAGGAGAACTGTGAGAAATTCACTGATGTCTGGATTTAGCCTGGCTCTGACTTCAGGAAAATAAGCCTAAATTAGAAAGCATGCTTGGGGCGGGGGGAATCAACCTAATATAGGGAAGCAAAAGTCAGGAAAACAGAAGTCAGGAATTTATTCTGTGGTTCTAAGTTTATGAAGCATACAGTTAAAGGGGACATTTGGCTTGATGTGGGATACATCCTCCTAAATAATTATTTGGAGTTATTATTTAAGATTTGTGGACTGAATTTCATTCAATTAAAAAAAATTAAACATTCTGCGGTTATCTTGTAAAACATTTTTCTCTAAATGCAGGTGCAGCTACAGGTCCATGTCCTGCTTTGGTTCAAAGAATATTTAAATTTCATTCATTATTTTTGTGCTCTGAGCTTACTCAGTATCTAAATTTTTTAGTATATTTATGCTCAAATAATACTGACATAGGCCAGGTGCAGTAGCTCACACCTGTAATCTTAGAACTCTGAGAGCCAAGGTGGGAGGATCCCTTGAGTTAAAGAATTCAAGACCAGCCTGAGTAAGAGTGAGACCCATCTCTACTGAACAGAAACAACTAAAGAGACTAGACAACTGCTAGCACCTCACAAAGAGAACTTGAACCACAAAAGACTAATCTAGTCAAATTCTGCAGGCCCAGAGCAAGGAAGAAAAATAATGACCATATTCTCACTCCTTGCTCTGTACTACATCCAACTTATTAGTTTCTACTTAGGCAGTTTTGAGGCCCAAGACTTTTTGTTTGTTTTTGTTTTGAGACAGGGTGTTGCTCTGCCTCTCAGACTAGAATGCAGTGGTATCATCATAGCTCAATGCAACCTTAAAAACTCAAGGGATTCTACCGCCTTAGCCTTTCAAATTACTGGGACTACAGGCATGTGCCACTATGCCCAGCTAATATTCTTACTTTCCTAGAGATGGGGTCTCATTCTGGCTCAGGCTGGTCTTAAACTCCTGGCTTCAAGTGATCCAAGCTTGCCTTGGTCTCCCAAAGTGCTAGGATTACAGGCATGAGCCACTGCACCCAGCCTTGGTTTTATTTCTTTATGTACTAGATAACCACAACAAGCACCGGCAACTATGCAGGTGCTGAGGATTCTGAAGTGTACAAGTGGTTATAAGACATTAAGTGCTCCAAAAAGGCTTACTGTCCAGTATAGGACACATATAAGACCATAGACCATTTCAAAAGATAAAAGTGATGCTAAGAAACGGGGGTAAGCAAAGGGTTTCACAGGACAAGAGACCAACTTCAGTCAGGGAATTTAAGTATTTCTGTGTAAGGAGTAGGACTTTGAAGGATAAGGGGCAAAACTGAGGTTACAGAGGTAAACAGGGACTAGATCCGTCACAGATAAGGTGATAAAGTCCTTAAAGGAGAAAGAGATCGGTAATACAAAAAGAGGTGATTAGAGGAAAAGGTAAAGGAAAAAAAGTAACAGCATTTGTAACTCTTTAAAGAAAACATTTTTGCATAATTTTCAGAAAATATTCTAACATTTCCACCTTTACTTTGAGAGGCAAGGAATCCTATCTTTACAAACATGCTAAAAAGTGAATCTGACCCTAAGAATAAAGTATTTTCAAAGTAACTTATCTCAGGATCCCATAAAATCCACTGAATTTGCAGGCTGAATTTGCCTTTACTGAATCATTCATTTTAATTTGTGTAAGTCTAAAATCAGAATAACCCAATTTTTAAAAGATTAAAATCATGAAAAGCATTTTCATGATTAGGTTTATGGAAAATTGGTTTCATTATGTTTCTATATTGGATCAATTATATAATTAGAAGTATTGTTTCAATTCAATTACCTGATTTGCCTGCCAGTCCTCCTCTGAGTGCTTAATGACTTACAAAGATGGAGCAGCTTAGGGTAGTAAAAAATAAACCATGGCTCTGGGATCAGTCTTCCATTTGAATTTTGGGATCCACTACTTCACACTTATGTGACTTGGGGATAAAATTGCCCATCTAAAAAGGTTGTTTACTTGTTTATCCTTTCCACACATATCACTCAGCACTACGCCAGTGTTGGTGTGACTCAACGCAAATTAGTAACATCTACTCAGTCCATTTTGCATTGAACTGAGGGAACCCGGAGGCCAACACTAGCAGGCCCTCTGCAGGGAGAGAACAAGGGTGCCACCCCTCCCAATGATCCTCACAAGCTTTTATAGAAATCTCAAGCATGGGAAAATACAGCACAGTCAAAAGCTTCAAAGACAGAGAGAGTCAAGGTTACAAAAGAAGGGGTTCTTAACTGCATGACTGAATTCTTAACACATTCTGTTACTGCACTCTGCCTTGTCTTTTTTTTTCTTTCTTTCTTTCGTTTTTTGAGGCAGAGTCCCACTATGCCATCCTTTGTAGAGTGCTGTGGCATCACAGCTTACAGCAACCTCAAACTCTTAGGCTGAAGCTATTCTCTTGCCTCAGCCTCCCAAGTAGCTGGGACTACAGGCACCTGCTACAATGCCTGGCTATTTTTTTGTTGCACTTGTCATTGTTGTCTAGCTGGCCTAGGGCCAGGTTTGAACCCACCACCCTCTGTGTATGTGATTGGAGCCATAACCACTGTGCTATGGGTGCCAAGCCTGCCTTGTCTTTTTTTTTTTTTTTTTTTTTTGAGACAGAGTCTCACTATTT